TGGGCTGCGGAATGAGCTCCATGAAGTCTATTACCACATCCTCATCTCGTCGGTTGATATAGGTAAAGAAGGTTATCAGGTTGTTGGTCGGATTCACCACTTGATCTTGGCTCTGCTTGGCAAGAAGTATTGCAATTTGTCGTGGCATTTGTGCATATGGGTGGACATCATCGTCAATGTCATCGTTTGTGCCAACACCAATTGAGTCTTCTTTCTAAGTGGGTGCAGCTAGTGTAGGGCCTTTACCCTTGTCCACATGTTTGAGAGTCTTTGTTTTCCGAAACATATCAAATTGTTATGGCATTTTTGTCCTGTTCGATTGGAGCACCAATGTAGACCAAAATGCCACACACATATAATAATTTTGTCTTCAAAATATTTTACCATGGCATTTTGGGTCTTTCACATCTGAATTGTAGGACATTTGCAGTAATCCTTTCTTCTTCAAAGTATTCTCTCTGTGAAGCTGAATGGTAGAGGAATGAGATCTCTATTTTCTCCTTTTTACTGTGGCAACTTGAAATCATTTGGGCACAAATTTGTTGAAGCAGTCGGGGTCATCCCTATGACAGTAGCCACCATTGTGTATGACCTTGTTCTTTCCTAGGCTATTGAAGTAAGAAAGAAAAACAACACTAACGAGAAAATTGACAATGTTAACATGCCACAAAATTGTCGCACCAAATAATAATTTCTCATTAGGGAATTTTTTTTCTTAATCTCCATTTCATTCCTTATTTCTTTTATAATTTCATGCCTAGATAGATGATCAATCACTTGGGGTTTAGGATGAGTGAGTTCAATAGAATCCAAAGGTTCAAATTTCATACCTGGTCTAGCTATGGGTAAGCTAGTCTGACTCATCTCCTTTGGAATATCCTCGAGCTCCTCTTTATCTTCTTCATCAAGCTTCAAGTGAGATTATCAATGCATAAAAATTTGTTGCGGCAAAATTATGCAGCTTTCCTTTGGTCATCAACTCTTACTGATGGGGGCTTTTCTTTTGCCGTGGCAAAATTTTTTGTGTCATCATTGGCTGCACTCTTTGAACCCTCATCATTATTTTCCAGCAAATGTGAATCTTCTTGAACCTTCGGATCTTCGTGTACAATCTCATGACCGGGCTCTCCGAGTTTTACCCCCTAAACTTAGCATCTTTATAGATTTTGGTTTCACTCTTTAAAATGAATGTACCACAATGCTCCATGTCTTGAGCCTTAGTGACTTCAGTATCACTAGGTAGATTGCCATGTGGGCAAAAATGTAATGCCGTGGCAATTTGACCAACCTGACCCTCCAAGGCCCTCAAAGATGAGCTATGGCTTTGAAGTAAAGCTTCTTCGTTTTTTATAGAGGTCACATGGTCATGCAACATGGTCTTCGTGGTTGCTATAAAATCTAGCATTGTGGCTTCCAAAGAGCTTGTGTTAGATGAAGATGTTACTCCCTCGTTAGAATTATGCCATGGCATATTCGTTTGGAAACCCTGGGAGTCGATGAAGTTCTGTTGCCTAGCGGGCTGACTAGCATTGTTGGTTCTTTGATTTCCACAAGATACGTGTAGACGCTGACATCATCTAAGATTGTTAGAATAGGGTTGTTGTTGGCTCAATTGTAGTTCTATATATAGTTGATAGATTCCAGATTGGCCAAACAATTGCTCTCATGGTGATTGCCATGGCATAATAGACATGCTGAGTTGGCTGCCTTCACTTCTTTCACCTCACTTGATCATTGCAAATTCTTTAACATATTGGTGATGGTAGAAAGTTGGACGGACACGAAATTTGTAGTATCGAACTCAAATGTCTTAGGCACTTTTTTCCCGACTCTAAGCCTTGAAGATGAAAACTGATAATCTTTGTTGGCAATCCTATCCAGAATGTTGAATGCCTCTGCAGGTGATTTATCGAGCAATTCCCCATTTGTCGAGGCATCTAGCATCATCCTCGTGGGTGTATTGACTCCATTGTAGAACATCACAACTTGAGTCCAGTCTTGGAATCCATGATTGGTGCACTTACAAAGCAATCTCTTGTATCGATCCCGTCACTCATGCATAGACTCTTCATCGCCTTGGTCAAAATATGATAAGGAATTTCTAAGATGGTTGTTCATATTGGGTTGATTATGTCGTAGAAAAAAAAATTTGCACAAGTCATCCCAAGACCTTATCAAGCTGGAAGGTAATCCATTGAGACATGCTCTGGCGAGATCTTTCAAAGAATACGGAAATAACTTTAATTTCAACACATTTTCCTGCACACCTTGTTGCCAAAAGGAGTCACAGACCTCCAAAAATGCTCGAACATGTTGCCTTGCATCCTCATGAGGAGCACCACTAAACTGTCCAATCAAGTCTAACAAGTCGAACATAATCGGTTTGAGCTCTACCTGAATCTTGGGTGCCACAATTCTAGGATTTAGGTCATCCATGATAGGATTTAAGTGATCTCGAATAGTATGCGGCCTAGCTACATTCAGAATTGCCTCGACATTTGGATCTTCTTTTTTACCAATTCCTTGATTTTCGATCTGATACATGTTTGCTTGAGCACATTGAGTATGTAAAATAAAAACCTGAAAAGACAAGGAAAATAACAATTAAAACTATACAAAAAAAATGAACAAGTAAAATAAAAATTGCTTTGACAAAACTAATTAACTTCCAGTTATCAATCCCCGACAATGGTGCCAAAAACTTGTCCGCTCTTTGTGAGTACTATAAATGAGTGTGGATATATGTGCAAGTATACATAATCGAACAAGTAATACACTGATAAGTTGATTATCGTCTCCACAGGGATTGGAGGAAATCAAATAAGTTTGTCAAGGAACTTTACTCTGTCACCTAAGTAAAGTTAGTGATGGTATATACAAATGATAATGCTGTGGCAAAATGGAATGACTGATGTGGAAATGGAACGATGGTAGTGTGGTAGCAAATGGATATGTCGTGGAAAAATAGATTGTGTTTGGTGCAAACAGATGGAAATGTCACGGCAAAATGAAATATAAATATACGAGTTGATTAATAGGACTTTGTCTTTCTCACACGACAAGCTACTTTGGGAATGAGTGGTAGGAGTCACTAAGGAAAATCTAAGTCTACTTCTCCGAAGGGTCTTCCTTCTATGCCTAGTCTTCCCGATAGAGTCTACTGAGGTACCATATACTATCTCTAGTAAGGGACTCGACATATTAAAGATGCCCTAGAAAACCCGATTGGCGTAAACCCCTGCAGTGATCCTATTGGTCCAGATAACAGGATATGTCTCGGCCATACCTTTTTGTGGCAGCATTAACATCTAACCTATCATTCATGCACAACTCCTTTTAGTTGAATGAAATCCTAGCCTTATCTCTAAGGTGGATTAGGCCTAGTTACTACCTAGAACCCTTTGTTTATGTAGTTCCTCCCTAGTTTCTCTAGAACACTAAGGATATTTTATTTCAGTATTCTCTCGAACCCAAAGAATCTCCTAAGGAATGGCTACTCTCGTAGCTCCTACAACCTTAAGGCACTAAGTCTCATAAACAAAACAGAATATAACATAGAAAAGCAACCATTCATTGAAATAACACTTAAAAATCCAAGTGAACTCTCACCAAATAGTTTTGTTTCATGGTGGGGTTTGAAATAAACAAGCACAAAGCAAGTTTCATCCGTTCCTTACAACCCAATAAAAAATATGAAAGCAAATAACAAAGGGAATGAGAAAGCCTTTGACGTGCACTGCCGGAGCTTCCTCGACCACCACGAACTGCCCCTAGCGAACTAGCTCCTCTCGGATGCCTAGAACGCCACTCTCTCAGGCTTTCACGGAGAAATGTCACGGTAAGTTGGATTGACTTAGAAAAATGAGACCTTCTCTCTCTAATTTTTAAGCTCAAATCAGCGTGGAACCAAAGTCTTCTTTATTGTGGCTTCATTCTCTATCTATAAGGGAAGATTAACCCTAGGACTTGGTGTTGAAATTCCTAGGAAACCTCAAACAATGCTTAAATCACGTGAGTATCGGGTAGAGCATAGCAGTGATCCAGTCTGGGTTACCAACTGAGTACCTGTCATAATCATACTACAGAGGCCCAAGGACAGACAGGATCTACAGAGCAGGTGGAGTGGTCAGCAGGATCAACTGTATTAGCACCGATCCCGCCAGGCAGATCTTCGAGGTAGATTTCTCGGGCAGAGATCTCGGAAAGTAGGAGACAGTTGGCTTTAAAAACATATTTTTTCACGTTGTCCACTCTCGAAATACCAATCCAATTTGGCATTTTAATTTTTCTCAGAAATCTCCTTATGTCACGACATTTCCTTTCTTCTTTTCCTTGCTCTCAATCCCTGCACATCATTAGACAAACACCTTCCCCATAAGGCAGCACTGATGACAAATTAAAATGCCACAGCAAACCCAATTCCACCACATGTAACTAAATGTTTCTAAATGCATCTACATGGTCCTAAATGAGCTCTTAAACATTAATAACTTAAGTGAAAAGTTCCTAAAATGTGACCTTTTTATAGAGTTATCATAACAGGTTAGAGCGATCAATCCAATTTCTGCTTCTCTTTAAATCAATTCTTGTTCAACTCTATTTTTTTCATGGCTAATCCGGATCCCACAACATCCGAAATCACTTCCTAGACTAGCCTCTCTCAATTTGATTTTCAGATTTTAGATTTTCAGAGCAGCAAAGGAGAAATCACCTCTGATGTGAACATTGTATGAAAACAGGCCATATGATATATCAATGTTGGAAGTTGCACGGAAAACCACCCGATTGGCAGCCCACACGGTCCAAGTTTCAAAAGGAGGCCCAAATTGCCTTTCAAAATGATTCCTCAAGTAGTTTTATCAAGAAACAGATAGAGGATCTAGCAGATTTTGATCAGTATGACAGCCAAGCCTACCAATGTGACTTATACTACTACTGATGGAAATAATCCATATACTTCCTCGGTACAATAGATAATAGACTCGGGTGCATCAAATCATATGACAGGAAATATTGATCTCTTGGAGGAATATAGTGAAAGAAGCTTACCAGCTTCTATCAAAATAGCAGATGGCTCTCTCACTACAATCAAAGGGAGTGGTTCTGTAACATTAAACAAAAATCTCCTACTTTATAATGTCCTCTATGTTCCTAGACTTGCATGCAATCTGTTGTCAGTCAGAAAATTAATTAAAGATTATGGTTGTAATGTTGTGTTTGCTACTGGTGGTTGCATTTTTCAGGCACAGGGCTCGAAGAGGGTGATTGGCAGTGCTAGGGGGGCAAAGGATTGTACACCCTTGGAGGTAAAGCATCTCATAATCATGCCTTATCCAATGCTCTTAGGAAGCCAATTTTATCTTCTGGTCTTAATACCAATAAAATTATGTTATGGCACTCTAGATTAGGTCATCTAATTTTTTCTATCTTTCCAAAATGTTACCGAACTTATTTATAAATAAAGATCCATCTTTGTTTTCTTGTGAAATTTGTCAAATAGCCAAACACACCAGAAAACCATATATTGTAGCCAAATTTGAACCAACAACACCTTTTTCCATCATCTATAGTGACATTTGGGGCCCTTCTCCTGTCAAAAGTATTTCTAGGTATAAGTGGTTTGTGTCTTTTATAGATGATTACTCTAGGACAACATGTATATTCTTAATGAGAGAAAAGTCTGATGTTGAGTCTCTCTTTAAAAGTTTTTATCAAAAAGTTGAAACCCAATTTGACACAAAAATCAAAATTCTAAGGAGTGACAATGGGAGTGAGTATTTGAATAAAACCCTTGGGTATTTCTTTAAGGAAAAAGAATTGTTCACTTTACTTCTTGTGATAACACACCTCAATAAAATGGGGCAGCATAAAGGAAAAATAGACATCTTCTAGAGGTTACTAGGCTATTATGTTTACTGCTAATGCTCCTAAGTATCTTTAGGGGGAAGCTCTTCTTACACCCACCTACCTCATCAATAGAATTGCCAAGTAAGACCTTAGATTTCAAAATTCCTACTAAGGTTCTGTTTCAGCTTTATCCCCATTTTAAACATTTAACTCAACTCTTTCTCCTCAGGTGTTTGGGTTTACAGCCTTTGTCCATATCCACAACAGAGGGAAATTAGATCCTAGGTCCATAAAGTGTGTTCTTGGGCTATTCTTCGAGTCAGAAGGGTTACAAGTGTTACTCACCTTCCATAAAAAAACCTATGTCTCCTTTGATGTTACATTGTTTGAAAACCAACCTTATTTTTTAGGAACATAAATTAAGGGGGAGTTACAAGGAATTTCAGCCTGTTCAAACCGATATTTCTTTACAGCCTATCCTTTATTTACCTATTACTGTCTCTCCAAAGCCGGCTAGTACTATCCCAGTTCCTAGTGAGGGTGATGGGAATAACCTAAATAACTCTGATGAATTACCTTCCTCCTTATCTCAGCACTCTAGTCCGTGCAAAACACCTTCCACCACCATAAAAAATGCACCTAACAATGACCCTGAAACCATAACTCCCCAACCGAAACAACTCAGTGTTTACTCAAGAAAAATAAAAGATGTTGCTGAAGAAATCAGCCAGCCTAGCATTTTCTAAGAACCAGATTCGGATCATGTTGCAGCTGAAACAGAAGGTAATGATGGTTACCAAGAGGCTACTATTGTTGATCCTGATGACTTTCCTATTTCTATTAGGAAGGGGATAAGAAAATGCACTGATCATCCCATAAATAAGTATGTTGCATATAGGAAATTACAGTCTAATTTCAGGGCCTTCACTGCCAGCATTAACAGTGTGAAAATCCCAAGAAATGTGATAGAAGCATTTCAATCTCTTGAGTGGAAAAAGGTTGTGGAAGGGGAGATAAAAACGTTAGAAAAGAATAAGACATGGAGTTTGACAGATTTGCCTGAATGAAAGAGAGCTATTGGATGCAGGTGGATATTCACAATCAAATATCATTCGGATGGGAGTGTGGAAAGATACAAGGCAAGGCTGGTTGCTAAAGGTTTTTCTCAGTCCTATGGTATCGACTACCAGGAGACTTTTGCATCGGTTGCAAAATTGAATACCATCAGAATATTGTTATTAGTAGCTGTTAACATAGACTGTAAATTCTATCAGATGGACATAAAGAACGCTTTTCTGAATGGGAACCTTGAAGAAGAGGTATACATGGAGGTCCCCCCGGATTAGAAGGAAAAGTCACTAAGAAAACTGTGTGCAAGTTCAATAAATCCTTATATGGCTTAAAACAGTCTCCCAGGGCTTGGTTTGATCGATTTGCTAAGGCTATGACACAGAATGGTTTCAAACAAAGCTAAGATCACCCATTATTCAAAAAAATTACACGAGTGGTAAGATAACCCTCCTAATTGTTTATGTATATGATATGATTATAACTGGTAGTGATATAGAAGAAATAGAAAAGCTAAAGATGAATCTTGCAAAGGAGTTTGAAACCAAGGATTTAGGGAGTATGAGGTATTTTCTGGGTATGGAAGTTGTAAGGTCCGAGGAAAGGCTAGTCATAAACCAGCGTAAGTATGTTTTGGATCTTCTTGCAAAAACTGGGATGCTCGGCTGCAACCCAGTTGAAACTCCAATGGAGCCAGGCTTGAAATTTTGCAAGAAAATGACTGGAAATCCAGTAAACAATGAAACCTACCAAAAGTTAGTTGGGAAGTTGATCTACCTTTCACTGACCATGTCTGATATTGCATACTCAGTGAGCATTGTCAGGCAACATATGAGTGATCCTCGAGAAGAACATTTAGAAGCTGTTAACAAAATTCTAAGGTTCTTGAAGTTTACCCCAGGAGCTGGACTTATATTTAGAAAAAATCAAGACATAACAATGAAGGTTTATACGGATGCAACCTGGGGAGGTGAATTAACTGATAGAAGATCAGTTAGTGGCTACTGTACCTACGTTTGGGGTAATTTGGTGACTTGGAGAAGTAAGAAACAAGTCGTTGTCTCTCGAAGTAGTGATGAGTCGGAGTTTAGAGCAATGGCTCTCGGAATATGTGAAGAAATGTGGATTAAAAGACAACTCACAGAACTGGACTTAGATGACAAGTAGAATTTTGAGATTTTTAGTGACATCAATCAGCTATGAGTATAGCAAAAAATCCAGTGCAGTATGATAGAACGAAACACATTGAGATAGACAGACATTTTATTTATGAGAAGGTCAACAATGGAGTTGCAAAACTGCAATACATTCTGACGAAGAAACAGTTGGCAGATATCTTCACCAAAGTCCTTCCACGAGTGACTTTTGACGAGCTGTCATTCAAACTGGGTATATACAACATATGTACACCAGATTGAGGGGGAGTGTAGGAATTATAGAAATGAGTTGTCAATCCCTTAAGTTAAGAGATTCTGTAATTATTCTCTATTTTTTAATCCCTTATTTCAAGGGATTACATTTACTAGGATTATTATCTTTCCTAACTTAAAGTTTCCTAGTTTAGAGGCATAATTTTTATATAAATATGTAATATGTTCTACTGAATGAATACATGAATAAAATAACAGAGACTTACTCTGTTTTCTACAGTAATGTCACACAACTCTTCATCAAAAAAAGTCACTATCATTAAGGGTCTGTTTGTTTGGCTTAGTTTTCCGGAAAATGAATTACTGGAATTTGAATTGAATTGAATTGGAATTTGAATTCTGGAAAATGAATTATATTTCTGGAAAACGTTTTCCGGAAAATATTTTCCGTAAAATGAATTAAATTTTTCTAAAAAACATCTGGAAAACGTTTTATGATGTTTGGAAGATGTTATTTAAACCTTTTTTCCACTAGTTGAAGAGTTTTTTAAAAATTATTTATTACAAATATTAATATAATAAATAATATTTTTATCATAAAACTTAATATTATTAAAATATTAAAATAATTTATTTATTATTAAATTTTTTTTATAATTTTATTAATAAAAATATTAATTTTTGTATATTTTAGTGAAATAAAATATATAAATTATTAATTATTTATTAAAGTAATAGTGTTATATTATATTTTAAAAATATTAATTAGTATTTAATATATTTATTAAAATATTTTTAAATATAAATAATATTATTCATTATTAAATATATAATTTTTTATTATATATTATTAAAATAAAAACAATATCTTATATTATTATAATATAATTGATTATTTTATATAATATTAAAAAAATAATATTATATTATATAAATATTAATAAATAAATAAATAATATTTTGATGAAAATGATATTAAAATATTTTGTTAATATTAAATTCATAAATAAAATTATTTTGAGTATTTATTCTTTGAAGTAAAAAGTTTGGAAAATGACTTGCGGAAAATGAATTCGTAAGTCATTTTACAGAAAACACAAAGGAAATTTTGTTACTAGAAAATGAATTACATTCCGGAAAACCAATTACGTGAAACAAACACAGGAAAACATTTTCGAAAAACGAATTACGTAGAACAAACACAGGAAAACATTTTCCGGAAAATGAATTACGTGAAACAAACACTGGAATTCGAGAAAAACCAATTCTGTAATTCCAATTACGGCAAACAAACACACCCTAAATTTAGATGTTTCAGACTCAGTATCAGAAATAGTGAGGTTAGAATCAAAATCTTCAAACAACTCTTCATCAGAATGTACAACTCTTCATCATTTGGTTCATTTGGAGGTTGATGTTCAGTTTCAACAGTTGGTTCTTTGGAGGTTGAGGTTCAGTTTCAACAAATTGTTTAGTTGGATGTTGAGGTTCAGTTTCAACAGTTTGTTCAGTTGGATGTTGAGGTTTAGTTTCAACAATTTGTTTAGTTTCAACAGTTGGTTCATTTGGAGGTTGAGGTTTAGTTTCAACAATTGGTTTATTTGGAGGTTCATGTGCATATATATATATATGTATGCATGTCGATTCCTAGGCAATTGAGCTACCATGTTCATAAGATCAGTATCAATGCTTAAAGGTAAAACCTTCTTATGTTTATCCCATGACACAACCATAAATAGTTTTACACAAGCTCTTATCCTTAAAGCCTCAACCATACCTATTACCTCAAACATGGACATCTTTTCCACTATATTTACCATATCGATAATTGGTAAAAATTCCACCCTGATGTAACACAGTACTAAATAAAGTTGAATTGGCAGCTGAACAAAACATTTACAAACAAAAAAATGTTAATACAAGTACCAATTAAAAATAGTTAGAGTTTTTCATAAATCACATACGTCAACAAGACATTAAATATTTGACATACTTAAAATAACAATAAATATTTGACATATTGCCAGCTAAACATTAAATATTTCATACTAACGTACATCATACTGACAATACATACTTCAATTAAAGCCATTAAAGAATATAACTCCGATAACATACTTTCAATTAATGAATATTCTAAATAAAGTAGACAACTTCATGCTTAGTAGACTTTTCATGCACATACAAATAAAGCACATAATTCCAATAACAAACTTTCTGTATATTACAAATGAAACTTGAATAAAAACTTGGACAAAATGAGTATATACAGAAAGTTTGTTATTGGAATTACGTGCTTTATTTGTATATGCATGAAAAGTCTACTAGGCATGAAGTTGTCTACTTTATTTAGAATATTCATTAATTGAATGTATGTTATCGGAGTTATATGATTTAATGGCTTGCATTTATATATATATAAACATAGAGGATTAATGAGTTAATCATTTATATATATATATATGGTGCGTATATTACATATATTATTATTAGGTGTGCATTATATTTATATATTATATATATATATATATATATATATATATAACATGTTAGTATACATGCATATAAAGTAAGTTATAAATATATGATATAATGGCATGAAATGATGACAAATTACGTAACCAAAAATAGAGCTGGAAACTAAGTAAACAATAACAAGCAAAGGACCAAAATGTAAAGAAAAATAAAACAAAGACATAAAGAAAAGTTGCTGAAATTTAAAGCCTTGGAATATAAATTGCAAAAGCAAAGGGTGTTGAAATATAAATAAAATAATTTAGAATACTGAAATGTAAAAGACTGAAAATAAAGGTGTGAAATAAAGAATAAAATGTAAGAGCGCATAAAAGTAAGAATCATATATATATATAGCAATAAAATAAAATAAAATAAAATAAAAAATTCACATAACCAAAAAAAGAACTAAAATGAATAAATAAAAAGTTAAAACGCATGAATACAAACTATAATAAATTAGAAACAAAAGAGAGTGGGACTGTTTTGCACTAATATTAAAAAGGAAAAGCCCAGTATAATAAATAACCCATTAATGGATATGGTCACCAAATGGCGCCATTTATACGTGCAGAAAAGAAAAGCCATTACTTGGCTTTACAATCCCCACTTTCTCATTTTAGTTTTGTAAAAGAAAAGTTTTTCCTTTTCTCTAAAAAAATCATATTATAGTCTCACAAAGGAAAAAGTTGGCTCAACCGCCACCTCTTCACCGAAATCCGTTCTCCAGTGACCGGAGCCAAGCAATAGAAAGGCCGATGAGACCTCAATTCGCTCCGAATACACTGAAAGGTAAAGTACCCTCCTTTTGTTTTTCTTTTCTTATTTCTTTTTAAAGAGCACTTGAATATCTTTTTATTCAAACGAGAAACGAGAAAAGATGGTACCTTTGAGAAATAGATCTCAGTTTCGTATTGATTTTTTTTTTCTGGTTACAAAATTTCTTCTTCCTAATGCTTGTCCTTTTTTTTTAATTCGAGAAAACATCTTTTTTACAAAATATCTCCTTGATATATATAACCCCCAAAGAAAATCAAAACCCTAAAAATTATTTGTACAAATCACCCCAAAAAGTTTTAATCTCCGCTACTCTTTTTTGCATTCCTTTTTGTCACTATGTTGAGTCTTGCTTAAAAGAGGAAAGAAGGCTGGCTGCACACATGGTGCCAGGAGGAACACGGGTGGTCTCGCATACATTATACGTGCCGAAGATGGGGCTATCGGACGGCTTGGAGACACCTGAAACTTTACACGTGCTTCACTGATGTTTGGGTTGGCCACTTAAGGAGTCTTGGGAGATCTGGAGCAATCAGGGTCGTCAGATCAAGCCAGATCTAAATACATGGAGGGATCGACGGCAGCAGCTTATGTGGGAACCCTATTTTAGGTTGATCTGGACCATTGGATCATTTGTAGATCCAAGGGCTGAGATGTAGCGGTGGCTAGGGTTATAAAACTCTAGGGTTCTCATGTTTCTTAATATATTGGGCTGCTTGGCCAACTTAGATATAGGCTAATCTGTTTTGGTTTTTGGGTTATTTTTAGGCCTGTAAATAAAAATTAATAAAAGTTAGATGTTTAAATTTTGATAATATATATATATATATATATATATATATAAAATCTTATATATGTATATATACACGAGCATAAGTCCACATAACCATAACTACAATAAAATATATTTTAACGGTGTTTTAGTCATATAAAGGTATTTTTAAGCGTCGCTAAAAGCTCTTGTGACAAAAAAAATGGCGTCAAAAGTATCGCTAAAACCAATACCGTAAAAGGTATTGGCGTTTGTAGATACAAATACTGCTAAAGGTTATGATTTTTAGCAGTATTGTTTTCATAAAAACCGCTAAAGGTTATGATATTTAGTTGTGCGTTGAAAAACGTTGTTATATATCTTTTCTTTTGTGGCATTTGTAAAAAAACACCGTTAAATATTCTGACATATAATGGTGTTTGTTCCCAAAAACGCTGGTAAAGGTTATAACATATAATGACGTTTGTAAATGTACAACGCTGCTATTGATTATATCTATAGTTGTGTTTTTCTATATAAATATTACAAAAGATTAGAACTTTAGTGGTGTTTTTTTCTTTCTAAAATGTTAATATTGAGTATGTAGTTAGAGGCATTTATTATACAAACGCCGTTAATTAACACAAATTTTGTTGATTGTGTTTTCTACTCTTTTATTACCAAAATTTAAATTTTTAAACTGTAGCATCATCCAATAAACATGACATCCAAAAAAATAAACCAAAGTTTATATTAACGTAAAATATAAAGTAGTTCAATATTGTTAAATAAAATAAACAAAACGTATATCTAAAATAACACCTAAGATGGTGGATTCTGAGGTTGATTTTGTCATATCATCTGCATCGTATCTTCAAGTCGATTTTCGAAGTCTTAACATTTTTGTTGATATGCTGCTTCCCTTACTTCATTTTCGACTTTCATTTGAGCAACTTTTTGATCCATTTCATTTCATCCAACTGTTATTTTAAACGACTAACATTTAATTGAGAAGACTGACTATGTGATAACATGTAGTGAGATAAACTAGAGCCAAAATATTTGGTGGGAGTAACGAATGATACTTGACAGTGAACACAACCATATCTTTCAAGACCCAAAACTTCATTAATAACTTGATTTTCAATGTCATCCGCATTAGCAATACCATGACTTGAAGTCTTAGCTTCATACTATGCCCTTATATCTCTCAATTTTTTCTAATAATCAATTCAATAATTATTTTAGATAAGAATGTCATACTATAGATATAAATATAACATAATTCAAATCTTGTCCAATAAATGTACCATAATTTCTACAGCTTCATCTGTCATAGAAGTATCATCCTTTTTATATGCGTAATGTCGAAGAGCTTTATTCGTCCAACTTTACAACCAGACCTGCAATGTAGAATAAAAAAGTCTTGCAAAAAATTAATTAATAATATAACTAATTTTCGTTAGTATATGCTACTAAATGTAAATCACTATATGAATAATCAATAATATCTCATCATTAGCTATACAAGCAAAGCTCGTCGATCCAACTGTGTTAGTAAACTTTTGTAGTTGTATGCTAGTAACACCAACATGCTCTCAATCCTACAATTTTAAATATGTACTTATAAAATAAATATTATAATGACATTATATTATTTTTGAAAAATACATCATACATTTCATTTATTTGAATTCCAAAACCTTACTGCATCTTCCCATTGATACATGGGCATTCCAGGTGAGACAGTTTGCATCTTCTCTTCAAGCCTAAGATCATTCTTGAAGTATTTATTTTTTAAAGAACTCTTGTGGTCTCTCCATCTCTTTCCTAACGCTTGCTTCAAATAATCGTCTGAGACATCTAAAGAAAATTTCTCCTACAAGTAACATAAGTGTTCAAAGAAAATGCAAATTACTATTGAATTGTTATGAATTATCTATTATAATGACATTATTACCTTAACAAAATCCAAAATCTGATTTTTGTTCCTATTTGGCATTTCACGCCATGACTCATAATTGATTGGTAAAAGATTAGCATTACGTGCAACCATGCCTAAGTAACCGGATAAAAGACGTGCTTATGGCCAATAGATTGACCGACATCGTTTCTTGAAACTTTCACACGGTGCCCAGGAGGAAGTTGATATATTTCCTTCAACGTTGTATGTCCTCTAGTCTTGCGTGTTTGACCATTTTCAACTATATAAGAAATAATTAAATGTAAGTTTTCAAAATGAACCAGCAATTAAAGAAAGTGTCAAACATTACCTTCAATTTCTACAACTTCTTTAACAGTAATCGGAACTTCCGAAGAAGCAACAACAATCGATTCCTCATTATTTGTTTCTTCCTCCTCTTGAGAAGCTCGAACAATCCGAAAATCACTTAATTTTCTCATGGGCATGATATTTGTAATAAACAAACAAAAATTTTAGTGAAAATATTACTATTAATGAATATATTGAAAGACAACATGTTATAAGTTTGACTATCAACCGGAACGGCAAAGATAGCAAACAATACAATTATCATTTTGAACTTTACAGCTTGCAGATGTGATTAAATTAATCAGATTCTGAAAATTTCTTAACATTAAAATAAGTAATCCTTAAGCTATTGCACATTCACCTAACCAACGCAAATATTGTATATATAAGTCTGTCAATGGCTTGGTTAATCAAAGCCTTCCTTCCTTTGTCACTTTCCAAATTACACCTGAAGGCACTCCAATAATTAAACATTTCATTTGAAATAACAGCTTATTTAATGTCACTTGTTTAGATGCATGGCCTTCCTTCACTCTATATAGAAGAAGCTGACTAGATGCCTCGAAAGGTTAACTACCTAAAGGCTAAAAGTACTAAGGAAATTTCTTATACTACTTTTCTGTTGTTCATTTTCTTATGTAACTTTATAGAAATATATAGTTGTTATATTTTGTTCATTTTCTTATATAACTTTATAGAAATATATAGTTGTTATGTGTTTAACTTTATTTCCACTACTCATGTTCATCTAATAATAGTTCATAACAATGATTGATCTAAAAATATTTTACTGTAAACACAAATATGTTAATAATGAACATAATTTTTCTACTCTTTTACAGTGCCCCTAGTTGTGCCTCGCCTATAGATTTTTTATAGGTTTCTTCTTTTTTTTCTTTACTAACTTTTTCATTTAACGGTAACAATATTAACTTCAACTAAAGTCTTCAACAAAGTTCCTTTAAGATTTCTTTTCCATGAAAGATTAATTAGTTCAAATTAATTTAATTGATTGATTAATCAAAGCATTAGAACAAAGAAATTTTACCCATCTAAAGCCTATGAAAGTTTGGGAACATAGAACTAAAAAATAGCATAAGTCGGGTGATAGAACACTTATAGAACTGAAATATATAGAAGAATAAACTATTTAGCACCAGCACATCAATGTTTGGAGGGTAAACTCTATCCTTTGAAATGCAACAGCAAGAACTATTCAAATCATTTCTCATTACTCTTAGAAAAAACCTGAAGTGCAACTCTATAATTGTTGAAAGCAATCGTACTTTTTCAAATTTTCTCCAATCAAATGAAGGTTTTCTATTCAGCATTTAGCTTGCAAAAATCCAATAACTAATTAGAATAGTTTACATAAAATATTTTTTTAAAAGAAAAGAAACAGCTATAACACCAAATAGTTATCAACATTTTTTTTACTAAATACAAATATATATGAGGCAAATATGCTTACACTGTTGTAAAATTATATTAGCTTTACACACTTATATCTAACTATTTATTCGAGACAAAACTTTCCACCGTTAAACATATTGGAGGGAAATCTTATAGACATACAGATTTGAAATTCTAGGTGCACGAATTCGATTCTGAGTCAAAAAAAATATAAATTCCATTCGAGTCAAATGAAAACTTGTAAAACTAATTAATTCAGCTTTACAAAAACCTAATTAGATGTTCGTCTATATAGAAGCCTGATTTTTAATCAGACACAATCAAAGGGGAATAGGTAAAGCTGATCAAATTATACATATTAAAAGAGCAAAGAAATCAACCAAGATTTAAAACCCTAGGATAAAACATTAAAAATTGTAAAGCGCGACAAGAAGATTTAAAAAAAGCAAACATCTTCCAAAAGTAAATACAATCGAAATTGAAAAAAAAAAAAGAAATAATAATCAGATTGAATGAACGATAAAGATCTAGAGTAAAGATGGGAAGGGAAATTAGAATCAAGCATACCTCGATCCGAGACCATGGATTTTAATGTTTTGAAGATGAAGCGGGGGGGGGGGGGGGAAGAGAGTTTTGGGAGAGGGGAGATAAAAAAAAATGGGGGGATAGAAGGAGGAAAAAAGGAAGCGGAAGTTTGTGGAAGGAGTGAGAGATAGAGCTAGCGTAGGAAAGCCAATGTCTCCTTTTCCATGTTGCTTCTGGCGCTGTACAAACAAGGATTTTAGATTTACCTTTCTTTTCTTTTTCTTTTCTGTTCTTTTCTTTTCTTATTTAGTGGTTTTTCCAAACTTGCCTAATTAAAGATTATTTTATTATTATTTTAAGATTTTTTACTAAACTTAAAAAAACATTGCATTAAATACAACTTTTTTATATTAAACACATGTTTTTAATTACCTTAATGCATTTTTTAAACCTTTAAAATATTGAACCTTTTATTGTGATTAAGATAGCTGTTTGAAAATTCACAAAATGATTGGATTTACATAAAATTATGTGTCATTACATAGGGATGTTATCTTCTGAATTAAGTGTACTTAATTCTAATTACATAAATGATAAATAAAGGGTAAATTATATTATTTCTTATTGAACTATACTCTATCTCCTATTTTACTCACTGTACTTTTAAATTTTTTTATTTTACTCGCTAAATTTACAAATTGCTCATGTTTTGATCATTCTAAATTATTTTATTTATTATTATTTATGTATGACATGGTATTTTATTATTATTTTATACAAAATATAAAATAATATAAAATAAAATAGAAGGTGGCCAGACACTACTGTCAACCACCTTCGTCTGTCATAGATGGTGGTCATTCGATCTAAAATTTTATGGGTCGCTTGTCTCGACACCCCGAGTCCAAACCCATCGTCCATTTTTTCGGAACTTGCTTTGAAGTCCATGAATTAGAGATCGAAAGTGAGGAAGTCAAAACGTTTCAATCGAGATTCATGGGTTTTGGGACATTTTCTGGAGAAGCAACCATCAGATTTGGACTCCATGGGTCGATACGAAGCGACCCATAAAATTTAGGACCGAACGACCACCATCTATGGCAGTTGAAAGATTTGGAACCCGATGGGTTAAAGTATTGCACAATCGCGGTGTTTATTATAAAAACATCACTAAGGTACATGACTATTGCGGCATTTATAACACCACTAAAGTACATGATTATTGTGGCGTTTATAAAACCACTAAAGTACATGATTATTGTGGCGTTTATTATAAAAACGCAACTAACGTACATGACTAATGCGGCGTTTGAACAAAAATGTCACTAAAGTACAAATCTATATCGGCGTTTGTATAAAAACGTCACTAAAGTATAAGTCTATCTCGACCGAAACGTTTTGATTTCCTCACTTTCGATCTCCAATTCGTGGACTTCAGAGCAAGTTTCTACAAAATGGAGGGTGGGTTTGGACTTAGGGGGTTGAGACGAAGTGACCCATGAAATTTGTGATCGAACAACCACAATCTACGGGAGTTGAAGGATTGGAACCCGATGGGTTAAAGGATTGGACAATCGCGGTGCTTGTTATAAAAACGCCAATAAGTTACATGACATTGCAGTGTTTATTATAAAAAATGCCACTAAAGTACATGATTATTGCCGTTTATTACAAAAAATCCACTAAAGTACACAACTATTCCGATATTTGAACAAAAGCGCCACTAAAGTACAAGTCTATAGCGACGTTTGTATAAAAAAACCCACTAAAATATAAGTCTATAGCGTCGTTTGATAGAAAAACAGCGCTAAAAAAGCCGATATACACCAAATGTCACTTTTATTTTAAGTATATCATATTTTGGTCATCCGTTTTGAAAAATACATTTTAATAATTACGGCGTTTGTATAAAAACGTCGCTAAAGTACTACTCTATTAGGGCGTTTGTTGGAAAACACCACTATAGATGAACCCTATTACAACATTTTATATAAAAATACCGCTAAAGTACTACTATGTTGCGGCTTTTTTGAAAAAAATGCCACTATAGATTAATCCTATTACAACATTTGTATAAAAACACCACAAAAGTAGTACTTTGTTGCGACGTTTGTTAAAAAATGCCACTATAGATGAACCCTATTGCAACGTTTGTATAAAAACATCGCTAAAGTACTACTATGTTGCGGCGTTTGTTGAAAAACACCACTATAGATAAACACTATTGCGACGTTTGTATATAAACGCTGCTAAATTTACCATTTTGAGGTATTTGGAATGGAAACGCTACAATATGTTTAAAGTTAGTGATGTTTACTCTAAAAACACTGTTGTAAAACAATTTTACTGTAGTGAAATATAATAATAAATATATATACACGCACGCACAAGATATACATATGGTTGTTGTATTAATGTAATATATTATACTACTTATATAGCGTGTGCGTATATAGTATGTGTTATCCTTGCCTTATATATATATGTATCGATTACATTTATTATGTATTTTTCTGTCCATATATATATATTGTGCCATGTATGTTATCATTCTTTTCTAGGTGTTATATATATAACATATCCTATATGTTAGGGGTGTTAAAAAATATCCAGAATCATTAACCGTAACTGTTACATTTAAAAGGTTAATTAACTAAATCATTAATATTAAATGGTTTAGGTTAACCGAACCGCTAAAAATGATGATTAACGGTTAAGGTTACGGTTAGAAGTTTTGATAAACAACTAACCAACGGTTAACCGTTAAGAAATTAAATTTCTAATTACCGGGGGCTGAGAATGTTTGTCAACCAAACGGGGGAATGACATTTCATTCCTCCAGTAATGTGAGATACCCTAAACCAAACGTCCCTAAAGGTGAGCAAAAATTGACTAAGAAAATCAATCTTTTCGACTTGACTTGACTTAAAAAACATCAAATTCGATTCCAGTAAAATAGAACTCTAATAACTCAATTAGTGGATTAGTTTTCAAGTTTGAGTCGAGTCCCTCAATTTTACATGATATATGTGTATCTCATACGAAAATATGGATATATATATATAAATTGAGAATTAAAATTTTACTATAATATTATAAATATGAAAAATTAAATTTAACAGAAATCCGAACAACTTGACTAAACTAAAATTTTGTAAACTCGACTTAACTCGAAAAATTTTCAAATTTGAGTTGAGTTATAAAATAAAACTTGAATAACTAGAATTTTTTAGTAATTAGTGGATTGATTTTCAAGTCTGAGTCGAGTTCCTCAATTTTTATGATATATGTATATCACATATGAAAAAATATGAAGAAAAAATATATGTATTGTATATGGTCATATAAAACCATTTAAATTGAAATTTACGATTAAATTTAAACAGAAATTTGAACAACTCGACTCAACTACAATTTTATAAACTCAGATTGACTCAAAATTTTTTTTAAATTTGAGTCAAGCTATAAAGTAGAACTCGAATAACTCAATTTTTTTAGTAATTAGTAGATTGATTTTCAATTTTGAGTTGAATCCCTCAATTTTGTATGATATATGTATATCACATATTGAAAAATATGAAGAAATATATATGTATTATATATGGTTATAGGAAATCATTTAAATTAAATTTTATTATAATATTATAAATATTTACAAATAAATTTAAATATAAACTCGAACAATTAGACTCGAATCTAAAAAATTTCAAATTTGAGTCAAGTTATAAAATAGAACTCGAATAACTTGAAATTTTTTAACTCGACTCAACTAAAAAAATTAAATTCTAGTCGAGTTGAGTTATAAAATAGATCTCGAACAATAACTCAAATTTTTAGTAATTAGTGAATTAGTTTTTAAGTTTGAGTTGAGTAATTCAATTTTGTATGATATATATATCATGTATGAAAAATTATGAGGAAATATATTTGTATTGTATATGGTTATAGAAAATCATTTAAATTAGAATTAAAAATTTACCATAATATTATAAATATTTACACTTAAAATTTAAACAGAGACTCAAACAACTCGAAAAAATCAATTTCAAGTTGAGTTATAAAATAGAACTCGAATAACTTGAAATATTTTTTACTCGACTTGACTCGGTCAAACGCTCATCCCAAAGCATTATTGTTAATTTTTTAACGATAGATGATCAAAATGAAATCAAAACTAAACATTTGATATAATTATTTTTAAAAATAATTATATGATCGAAATGGAATTAAAGTGAAAATTGAGGTACTAAAGTGTAATTTACCCTCTATACTTACTGCTTGACTGATAAAAACACAAACATAAAAATCCCAATGTTTGTGATACACGTTGGCACTGTTTTTAAAAGAAATATTTTTATATTTTTTTTCTTCTGTTTCGTCCACCTAAACAATTTCTTTTACTGATTCTGTTTTATGTACTTATATATGCACTTCAAGCAGCCAAACTTGAATTGCAATTACAGGAACCGCCTTTTGGTTTGATAGATTTCAGTTCCTGATTTGGAGGATTCTCTCTTTTGGGTGTTAGGTACTTTTTCACTGATTCTTTTAATTTTTCGAATATGGTTTTGTTTTTCTTTTGTTGTTACATTTGATTTGATTTTTTTTTAAAAGAAATATGTTCCGTTTGTTAATTATCTTTTGATGGTGGCATGGAATGGTTAAGTTGTGGAAAGTAACAGTATGATCGGTGAAAATTTTGTGATAATTTGTTGGGTTGATTGGGAATTGAGCTGGAATTGTTATCTTTCTTTTTTTGGATTGATGGGCAATGTAAATTGGAGAAGAGGGTGTTTGTTTCTTCAATGTTTTCTTTACATGCTATCTCGTTAATCATGAATTGAGCTTCTTCTTTTTTTTGGTTCAAGCTTTGATCATAATGGCATAGAGGATTATCTGTAATTGATTTTAGTGAATTCTTTAGTCCAATGCTACTTTAGTTTAATTATATCTTATCAATTTTGTCTTGGCCAAATTTTTGGAGAAGAAAGAGGGAAAAAAGGTGTTGGGTTTTGATATATGTGAAGTTTGTGCCAGTTGAAAGAATGACCTCAAGATCAGAGATTTAAATTGCGGCTAGGGTCGTATTTTTGGTTACATTGCATTTATTGTGATTGCGGACATAACAGGTGTTATTGAAGACATTGTGGGTATCGCAGTCATGCAATAACAGTGTCGGACGATACAAATTCGTATATAACGGATGCTATTCTGATAGCGGACCTCCATTTAAATCCCTGCTCAAGATGTATTT